TTAAATTTCTCTCTACAGAACTCATGTACACCACAAGTACTCAATGACATAAGAACAGCCAATGTTCACAACCGACCTAGTTAGTCTATATAATAGGAATATCTTAAAAACATCTCTGTACATTTATATCTTTCAAGATGAAAAATGTCGTCTTATGCGCAATCTATCTTTAGCTATGGTCGTAGACCTTTAGTTTTTCAAACTATAAATTATATAAGACGAAATATGTCTAAGCTGGAAATATCAAAAACTAGAAATTCTTAGAATTTTTTTGTTCTTATCGATAGCTCTTCAATAAAAGGAGTTATGATTGAAAACCTATGAGGTTTCAATTTACTTTACTTAGATTTAATACCAATCGCGGGTAAACGGCGGGATTAGCTTTACCATGAGTATGAATAATCAAATAATAAACCAAACAGGATTTCATCTTTAACCCCTACATTTTACTAACTGAAAGAGAACAAGAGTCCGTATTTATTGAATTTGAGCCACGTCTCAAATCCGCAAAAACCGGTTTTATTGAAGCGCCGGCTTAAATCTTGAAACATTGAATACATTTCTAGTGGAACCAACCATATTTAATTGTTAGGCCGCGGCTCAAATTCTTTAAAGTCGACCTAAGGTTATTTATCTAACATGAGATCGAACATAGGATTAAAAAAAACCTATTCTTAACCCATTCTCTTTTATCATGCAGTCGATAGTTTAAAACTCACACCATTTTTTAAGAAAAATCAGAATGATATATATGAAAAATCAAAAATCAAATGATATAGAAATAAATGAAAAATCAAAAATTCTGAAAGCTAAAAGATGATATGAGGCCGAATTTGAGCCGCGTCTTAAATTTGAGTCACGGCTCAAATATGGTTGGTTTCACTTAAAATTATATTTAATGTTTCAAGATTTAAGCCGGCGCTCAATTAAAACCGGTTTTTGGTGGATTTTAGATACGGCTCAAATTAATTAAATTCGGACTATGTTTGTCTTTATTATTTTGGTTGATTTGATATCAATAGAAATGAAAAACAGTTCCTCTTATCGAGCACTTTTTGGGGGTTTTATTTGTAAATTTTATAAGTGATGACTATTACAATTGTTTAGTAACTTAGTAATTCATTGTGTGCTTTCGATACATAATAGGAAAAACGTTCAAGTCCATTTATTGAGAAAAAATAATATTCTAAACATGCAATATTGTTCACAACATAGAGGAATAATATATAAATATATATATATATATATATGCAAATATATCAGAAAAAGAAATTTGTGTTCTTCAGTATTATAGCTCTTCAGTACACGAGTTATGATTAAAAACAGATTTCAATCTTACGTGGAATTTATTATGGTGAACCATACAAACTTTCTTTTTAATATATATATGAAGATAAAGCCATTAATTTTTCCATATATCTTTTTATATAGGTTTCCTTGACTTGAATCAAATAAGAAGTATCTGAAAGATAAATCCCTAGTACGGAAATATAATTGATGGTTATCTACACAAACTAATATATTTTATATAAACTCTATAGTATTATGTAATACAGGGTTTTCCTCAAAGGATGAGACTTCAGAGACGATTGTATGGAATGTATACGGTCTGTTTCCTGTTATTCACATTTCCCTGCAACTGTAAACTTGTTTCTTTATTTACCAAATCATGATACACGCCACTAGATTACCTTAGAATCGTCACATTTTACGAGTTTTCGGTCGTCTTTACAGTCTCAACCTTTGTGGGTAACCCTGTATATATATATATTTTATCTACAATTATCTACAACGTGATGGGTCACAAGGAACACACAATTCTTAGAGGCCATTCGAAACAAATGACAAAATTGAAAATAAAAAAGTTTTAAAATCTCTTAAATAAATGATACAGGTATTATTTTAATCTAGCAAGCATCAATATAAATTATTGTTGTTTCTTTAACTATTTTGTGGTTCTGAAAAGATGTGTTCCTGACCGGGGGGGGGGGGATACCAAATGCCCCTGAGGCTCTCATATATTAACCATCAAATAAGTATTAATTTTCCAGAAACTATCAAATAATGACAAAAGCAACATACATCTGTTTATGATCAGTTAATATGATAATATTACTAGTATTGGGGTATTTATGAATATATATGTATGTATGCCAGACTGCAATGGACTCCTTAAAAGGAGAATTCATTAAAAAATAGCATATTCGGTTCAGAAACAAATAAGATTCATGTTTCCATTTTTTTCTTTTGAAAACTGTTTATTTTTACTTGTGGTTTCTCTACAAAAGTGATTTTTGCTTTAAAAAAGAAATCAGAAATTATCAGAATTCAACACTTGTTAAGCCAGATCAGAGATCCCAAGGGCAAGGTTTCGAATCTGGCATGTTCTTTTCTAATGGAGGGTCATTTAAAATATAAAACGGCACTTTTAACCAATATTTCTTCTGAAAACAAAGTGCCGAATCGTTTTTATTTTTTACTTCCATTTTATCACCATGTCCATTTTATTGATAATCTCCTGACCAAGATTCTATCCTGGCTCCGTGTGCATGGTTGAGCAGTATCTGTGTGTATCTAGAGTATACTGGAGCAAGGTTGGAGGATAGGCCTCTAGGAATGGATAAGTCTAGACTGTGGAACTGGGTGGAGGAGAGTTGAAGAACGGAGGCTCCTGGTTAGGTAAACATAGTTTTAAAACCCAGGGTTCTAGGTTCTACTTGTTGATCTACCTATCTATCTACCTACCTACNCCTACCTACCTACCTACCTATCCTCCTACCTATCTACCTACCTACCTACCTACCTACCTATACCTACCTATCTATCTACCTACCTACCTAACTACCTACCTACCTACCTACCTTATACCTACTATCCTATCTACCTACCTACCTGTACCAACCTACCTATCTACATACCTTCCCACCTTGCAGCTACCATGCATACATGAATTCCTATCCTTTTTACATACCTCCCTTACCTACCTAACTACTATTCAGGTACAAGTACAAACGTCGGACCCACAAACGTCGGACGCTACAAAGGTCGGACAGTACAAAGGTAGGACTTACAAACATCGGACTGGTACAAACGTCGGACTGATAAGACCTCGGGCCAGTACAAAGGTTGGACCAGTACAAACGTCGGACCAGTACAAACTTCGGACGGGTACATTTATAAGGAAAAACGTCGGACTTTGGTTGAGTTTGAAAATAAAATATTATTGCTATAAGAAATAAATTAAAACTCATTCGCTTATTGTGTTGAAAATCAAAGACAACTGAATAAAGTCTCATCCTTTGAAGGTAGCACTGTATAAAACAACAGACCAAAAAGGAGTTGAGTTCAACTGTCACAAACTCTGATGTTTCAATGCCTTTATCTTGCCGATGTTGTATAACCTTTAATATTTCAACCTATGATATCTATAAGATCAAACAATTTAAGTTTAAAAGTATCAAAGGTCAATATCATTATCAGGTTGCAAATATATAAGGATGAGAATATTTGAGTAAGTGGCAAGAACTCAGTAATTTTTGGTAGAACTTAGTTCCGTTGGGTAGATTTTTATTAGACCAGTCGAAAAAAGGAAATAACTTTTTAATAAAAAAAAATCTTAAAATTCAAATAATTTTGTTTACTTAGTCCGACGTTTGTACTGGCCACACGTTTGTACTGGTCCGACGTTTGTACTTCCCAATGTTTGTCCCAGTCCGAAGTTTGTACAAGTCCAACTTTTGTCCTGGTCTGACGTTTGTAAGTCTCAGGTTTGTACCGTCCGACGTTTGTACTGCAGTACCACTATTCATGCTTACTATACATGTAACTACCTACCATGTCTTCATGCCCACCAACCTACCTACCAAACATACATGCCTATACCTGTAGTAAATGCCGTACTCTTAAAACTTTGTCCAGAACTGTAGCAATTCAGGTACAACCCATCAGCGAAAAATTTTAAACAAGATACAAACTCTTCAGCAATCAATGTCAAACCAATGTACATGATCTTATCGGCTCTGAATGTCACACAGGGACACAAGTGTAGCTATCAAACAAGCTCTTAGTCGATCAATGCCAAACCACTGGGCACAATCTCATAGGCTCTAAATGTCACACAGGGACACAAGCGTAAATATCAAACAAGCTCTTAATCGATCGATGAAGGAAGAGATCTAACCCNTAATCTAAGTTTGAAAAATCAAAGGTGTATACACCATCATGTTGATAAGATATAGGGATTAGAAGATTTGAGGTTGTGACAAAGACTCATATCCTTTTATAGAATATCGTATACCCTGATATTTATTACAGGCTTGAACAGGGTTCAAATACTAAAATCTAAGAAAGATCATGAAGGTAAACCTTTTCAGCACTAATACTTCTCAAGTAAACACAAGTTTACAAGGACTACCAAAAATTCAAAGTTATTTTAGCTTGCCAAAATTGTAGTATTAACCACATCTGTTTTTATCTAATTTAACGGACAAAGATTGTTGAATCTATCTTGAAAACTTGTTAAAAATCAGAATGAGAAAAGTTACGTACTTTTAAAAGCTAATAGATGGCCTGCTCTAACGTAACAGGAACAGATATCGACTGCCACAGGAGGAAGATATGTGTAGTAATTTCTTCGCCATAGCACTTACTATGGAGGGGACATGGAGTACATAAAATGGAGGTATAGAAACCTCTCCGCTATCGCGCATACGACATGGCGGAGACCAAAACACGGCGGAGATAGAATGTTAGCTGGGAAATTACGATTTAGGGGACAAATCAGAAAATTTAAGAAGAATGAATCATTTTGAAAAATTTAATAAGGCTAACAGAAATTTATTTTGGCAGAATTGCTAGATTTTTCGAGTATTATGTGCGTATTTTGGTGTTAAAGATTGGAAATAATCTAATATGATATGGGACGCTCTGTAGTAAACTAGTCAGTAAGTTAGCGAGGTAGCTAGTAAATTAGTCAGTTATAGCTAGGGAGATTAGGGAGATAGATAGTAAACTAGTCAGTAAGCTAGGGAGGTAGTGGGGAACCAAGGCTGTCTGCTGTGAATCCAGAAAACAGCTGATTCTCTCCAGTTGAAGATAGTAGGTACTGAATACTAGAGTCGGCAGAGACTGAATTACGCTAAAATGAAGTGACTAATGTTTTATAGAAATTTATAGATTTTTATCATAATTGTATATTAATAGAATAATAGAGAAGTGACCATTTTTGGTAGTTATGTAAATATGGTAGAATGGTATATTTTACGCAAATTTTATATTTATATATAGCTAAGTTACAGATGTGTAGAATTTTAAGGACACATCGCATAGTTGGGTTGGGATATCTAAATCAGCGTAAGGTGGGCGGGGGGGCCGGGGGGTTTTGAATGAATATTGTTTATGAATATTTGATGAATATGTTGATGAATATTGTCGATGAATATTTGATGATTAATGTTGATGAATATTATGCATAATAAGAATACTAATACTAAGTCAGTGTAAGGTGGGGGAGGGGGCCGGGGGGTTTTGAATGAATATTGTTTATGAATATTTGATGAATATGTTGATGAATATTGTCGATGAATATTTGATGAATAATGTTAATGAATATTGTTGATGAATATTGTTGATGAATATTGTTAATGAATATTGTTGATGAATGTTGTTGATGAATATTATTGATGTATTAATACTGTTAAAACATAATTTTACGACGTTATTGTTGTAAATGCCCCCTTCCTAAAAAAAATGTTTAAGACTTTTATGCTGATTTGTTCTTATAAGGGGTCGAAAAACAAATGAATTTATGGTAAAGAAATATCAAAGACATGTAATTCTAAAAAATGATAAGTTAAAATCCGTTGCAAAATCCCCTAAACTCGTAATGAAAATACGCAAAAATTTATAATTTTTTAAGTTTTAGTGAATACTTAATTTCTTAGCTCTCTCTAAAATTTATTTCAGTAAGTTTTCTCGTTTTGTTTTTAATTGCGATTCATGAAAATGTTCAAGTTGGTCGTAAAATAAAAATGTTGGTTTCCAGATGTGATGTATCTAGTCAGGGCAAGTTGACCCCATATCTGTCTGTAAGAGGTTGACCCCAAACTGTAGATTGAAAACCAGGAGATGTCGCGAAAAGGACGCCCCAAGTCGGAGCTTGAAACTGAGGTAAAAAAATTTTTCAAACCCCTTTTTTTCATAGATATTTTAATTTTATTATTCATTTTTTGTATTATATGATTTTTACCACAATTATGTCTTTCTTGACTTTGCACCGACACCCTTATTTAATTTGTATTGTCATCGACTTCGATTTTTTATGATAACCTGAGTAATTTTGTTATTTTTAAAGCATTACATCATTTTTCTTTTTTTTAAATCTTAATTTTCTTGCTCGAAAGAAAATAATAATTTATCAGCAAAGAATTTATTTTAAGCTTTCAGATTCATTTTTTCCTTGATTTTGAAAATTAAAAAGCACGGAATAATCTTTTTGTAAATTTTATTTTTATTTAGGAATGCAGTGTCAAAATAGTGATGGTGGGTGACAGTGGAGTTGGAAAATCCTGCCTATTAGGAATAGAGATTTATTCTTCAACTTTGAAGCTCTTAGAAAAGTATTGGTGTGTTCAAGTGCATAGGGTTACTCTCAAAATCTCCAACAATTTTTGGTAGAATTGCCAAAGATAGGACTTTTCGTAAAATTACTGAATTAAAAATGATACATTTTTAAAAACATCAAGACACAACAATTGTTTAAATAGTATTGAAATCAGTTTTTGGTTTAAAAGTAAAGTAAAATACCACCAGATATTAAATATTGTTGGTAACCCTGTATATTGAGTGGTATTATAATAAATATCGGGTAACACAATATCCTGTAAACTTAAATTTTCTAATTTCTATATCTGATAATGCAAGCGTTTCATATTTCAAACTTAGGTTATTTGATCTTACAGAAGGCATAGTTTGAAATATCTAGGGACTACGACATAGGGTTGCAAAGACATAGTTATTATAAAATCAGAGTTTGTGGCAAAGACTCAATTCCTTTTCAATACGTTGTAAATTATTAATGATCAATCTTTGTAAACGTCTACGTAAAAACCATTATTCATTTGAGCTGCATTTCAAATGAATATGTAGCATCGTTAGCTTAATCATGTGATATATATTGACTTAAATTTTAAATTGCGACTATTTCTAACTGTACTGTAATACGTAACATGATTGCCTTAAATCATGTGCTATAGATAACAACGTAGGAATTGTATTTAGGTCTGATAACTTTAACTTGTAACATATAAACCCTAATCATACCTCAGTTTATTTTATAGATTGATTAAGAGCTTGTTTATAGCTACACTTGTGTCCCTGTGTGACATTTAGAGCTCGATTAATAACTTGTTTGATAGCTATGCTTGTGTCCCTGTGTGACATTTAGAGCTCGATTAATGGCTTGTTTAAAAGCTACACTTGTGTTCCTGAGTGACATTTAGAGTTCGATTAATGGCTTGTTTAAAAGCTACACTTGTGTTCCTGAGTGACATTTAGAGTTTGATTAATGGCTTGTTTAAAAGCTACACTTGTGTTCCTGAGTCACATTTAGAGCTCGATTAATGGCTTGTTTAAAAGCTACACTTGTGTTCCTGGGTGACATTTAGAGCTTGATTAATAGCTTGAATTTGATAGCTATGCTTGTTTCCCTGTGTGATAACTACGTTTGTGTCCCTGTGTGGCATTTATAGCTCGATTAATAGCTTGTTTGAAAGCTAAACTTGTGTCCTTGTGTGACATTTAGAGCTTGATGAATAGCTTGTTTGATAGCTATGCTTGTGTCCCTGTGGGTATTTAGAGCTTGATTAAATAGCTTGTTTGATAGCTACGCTTGTGTACCTGTGGGCATTTAGAGCTTGATTAATAGCTAGTGTTTGTAGCAGCACCGATAGATAACGGGATTGTGCCCAGTGTTAGTGGCGTTGATAGTTCACGGGATAATAACCGTTTTGTTTGTGTCCTGGTTGACTTTGATAGCGGACAGGATGTACCTGGACTGATACAGTTCGGGACGAAGTTTTAAGAGTACGGCATTTACTACAGTGTTACCTATATTTACTAAATATTTAATGTTCCAAGTTTTTGGATTTTGTTATATTTTTTATTCAAGCTAAAAACTGCTTGATTCATCATTCTAGACATTTCATTTAATTGGACTGAAGACGTGATTTCGAAAGACATGCCCGTTTACAGAGGGAAATGTCCGATTCACAATGGTACCCAAAAATCTGTTGCCTAAGCAAAACAGATTGACTTTTCCCTGTTATTTTATCTACAAAATTATAATTTTGGATTGCAAGTGTTAACTTATTTATACAAAAACTTGATGCGCTGGATTCATTAAGTAAAAGCAAATTAAACTTTTGTTTTACAAAAACTTGGAAGACGCCTGCGTGCTGACGGTTTTAAAATTTGAATTTGAACGACAACTTTTTATTTTTCCCCTTTTTGATATAATTTGTCTTTAAAATAAATTTATAGCATATATTCTCGAATTAGAAAATAAATAATCTATAAAATTAGACAAATTCCTGGATACGGGGAGTGAAAACAATTTTATTTCCACAATAGGTAAATATTAAATCATATCCTCAAGTGAAACGAATTGAATGTCTGATCCACAACAGTACCCTTAAAAGCTTTTTCATGTTCAAATACGAACCCATGGAGAAATTATCGAAATTATCAGAATTAAAAAACTTGAAGCTAGAAAAACAACGTTATCTTTCAGGCTTTGCAGGGTTACCATTGTGTATCAGGCATACCAATCTTTTAAATTAATCACGGAGAGTCAACTTTTAGATTAAACAGGGGGAGAAATATTATATCCACGCCATCAGCTTAAATATTTTGAATGAGATGACACTAAAATTGTAATCTATAAAGATTTTCTATATCTTATTGGTTGAGAACTAGAAAATTACATTGGTCCAAACTTTGTAAAAAAAACCCTAATAAAGTTAAGAACCTATTGAATGGTTTTTATTCAGTATAAACGAGTTGAACCTATTTTAAGCCCACTTCAATCTTATCATTTTGTAGGAGTTGATATTCGGTCTGTCCAGACATGTTAGAATAGGACAGAGGACAGTACGTAGACAGGTAAACAGCATATTCAGGTCCAGACATGTCAGAATAGGACAGAGAACAGTACCTATACAGGTAAACAGTATATTCAGGTCCAGACATGTCAGAATAGGACAGCCAAAAGTACATATACAGGTAAGCAGCATATTCAGGTCCAGACATGTCAGAATAGGACAGCGGACAGTATGTATACAGGTAAACAGCATATTCAGGTCCAGACATTTTAGAATAGGACAGAGGACAGTACGTCTACAGGTAAACAGCATATTCAGGTCCAGGCATGTTAGAATAGGACAGAGGACAGTACATATACAGGTAAACAGCCTATTCAGGTCAAGACATGTCAGAATAGGACAGAGGACAGTACGTATACAGGTAAAGAGCATATTCAGGTCCAGACATGTCAGAGTAGGACACCAGACAGTACGTATACAGGTAAACAGCATATTCAGGTCCAGACATGTTAGAATAGGACAGAGAACAGTACGTATACAGGTAAACAGCATATTCAGGTCCAGACATGTCAGAATAGGACAGAGAACAGTACGTATGCAGGTAAACAGCATATTCAGGTCCAGACATGTCAGAATAGGACAGAGAACAGTACGTATGCAGGTAAACAGCATATTCAGGTCCAGACATGTCAGAATAGGACAGAGAACAGTACGTATGCAGGTAAACAGCATATTCAGGTCCAGACATGTCAGAATAGGACAGAGAACAGTACGTATGCAGGTAAACAGCATATTCAGGTCCAGACATGTCAGAATAGGACAGAGAACAGTACGTATGCAGGTAAACAGCATATTCAGGTCCAGACATGTCAGAATAGGACAGAGAACAGTACGTATGCAGGTAAACAGCATATTCAGGTCCAGACATGTCAGAATAGGACAGAGAACAGTACGTATGCAGGTAAACAGCATATTCAGGTCCAGACATGTCAGAATAGGACAGAGAACAGTACGTATGCAGGTAAACAGCATATTCAGGTCCAGACATGTCAGAATAGGACAGAGAACAGTACGTATGCAGGTAAACAGCATATTCAGGTCCAGACATGTCAGAATAGGACAGAGAACAGTACGTATGCAGGTAAACAGCATATTCAGGTCCAGACATGTCAGAATAGGACAGAGAACAGTACGTATGCAGGTAAACAGCATATTCAGGTCCAGACATGTCAGAATAGGACAGAGAACAGTACGTATGCAGGTAAACAGCATATTCAGGTCCAGACATGTCAGAATAGGACAGAGAACAGTACGTATGCAGGTAAACAGCATATTCAGGTCCAGACATGTNTGATTCAGAAAGTTTTTATGGAAAAATACCTAAAAATGGAAACGGATAAGTTTAAAGCCCCCTCTGGGATATTTTTGAAAATAATTTAAAAATGTTTTTTTTTTCATTTGTTATAAATGTTTCTATTATTTCTTATATGTTATAAATGTTTAGCTAGCTGTTATCGTGGTGCTGTAGGAGTTATAATCGTCTTTGATCTGTCCAACAGGTAAACAAATCTACGTTATTTTATTTATCTAATGTCGTCTTTTACTGCAACTTTTTAATGACTACCAAAAGCCCAAAAAAAAAGATTGAAATAACAAATTTTTAATATGAAGTTTTTTAAAATTGCCAAGATTTATGCTAAGAAAAATAACAAGAAAAAAATGCGCCCGCAATTTGCTTTTTCGGAGAAACCACAATTGAGAATATTCTCGTGCATTCTTCATCAGATAAATCTGTTAACTTGTTAAGAACACCGTTGTTAAAAATCGGACATGACGATCTAAAAGTGTAGTCACTTACAATTATATCTACACAGTTCCTTAATTGATATAATCAATTAATATAATAAAGGCAGAGTTCACTAGAAATTATATCTACACAGTCCCTTAATTGATATAATTAAATAATATAATATAGGCAGAGTTCACTAGAAATTATATCTACTTATATCTACACAGTCCCTTANAAATCGAATATTCAGGTTTGTAAAACCAAACTCGTTCTAACCAAACCAAACTTGTTCTATCCAAACCAAACTCGTTCTATCCAAACCAAACTCATTCTATTCAAGCTAAACTCATTCTATCCAAACCAAACTCATTCTATCCAAACCAAACTCATTCTGTCCAAACCAAACTCGTTTTATTCAAACCAAACTCATTCTATCCAAACCAAACTCATTCTATCCAAACCAAACTCGTCCTATCCGAACAAATATCGTTTTATCTAAATTAACTAGTTCAATTCAAAAATAATTGTTCTTTTTAAACCAAACTCGTTCTATCCAAACAAAACTGGTTCTATTCAAACCAAACTCGTTCTATCCAAACCAAACTCATTCTATCCAAACCAAAATCATTCTATCCAAACCAAACTCGTTCTATCCAAACAAATATCGTTTTATCTAAAATTAACTAGTTCAATCCAAAAAAAATTTTTCTATTCAAACCAAACTCGTTCTATCCAAACAAAACTGGTTCTATCAAAACCAAACTAGTTCTATCCAAACAAAACTCATTCTATCCAAACCAAACTCATTCTATCCAAACCAAACTCGTTCTATCCAAACAAATATCGTTTTATCTAAAATTAACTAGTTCAATCCCAAAAAAAATTGTTCTATTCAAACCAAACTCGTTCTATCCAAACAAAACTAGTTCTATCAAAACCAAACTCGTTCTATCCAAACAAAACTAGTTCTATCAAAACCAAACTCGTTCTATCCAAACAAAACTAGTTCTATCAAAACCAAACTAGTTCTATCCAAACAAAACTCGTTGTATCCAAACAAAACTAGTTGTATCAAAAACAAACTAGTTCTATCAAAACCAAACTATTTTCTAACCACTGGAAAGTCAGGTTAATTTCATGTACCGGGCCGACTGTGAACCTCCTAGAGTATAGCTGTATTGTACACATACAAACATTATAAGGCAAAACGGGACGGTAGGCCTAATTAGCAATTTACTTCTAGTAAAACTTATGTGTAACCAGTTCTTTAGAATTTATCTAAATTTTATTTTTTTCAGGAAGCTTTTCTTCGTCTTGTGAGTCCAACATCTTGAACCCTGTTCGCCAGAAGCTATATATTATACCGTTGATACAGAGAATATATATTATTATATATTGAACTATACATATGTGTCCGTACTCCGTATGTACAATGTATGTATTCATAGATATAGAAAAAAATAATTTACACTTCAACTGAATTTTTTTTTTTATTTAGATAGGTAACAAAATAAATAATAAAAAAGAAAGCGGAAATGTTTAGTAAATACAAAGGGTCCCACGAAACATGACAGTTGGTGAATAGTTTTAAATTTATTCTTTCATAATTTGTTAAGTTATTTGATATTAAAGAGAAAAATAAAAGATAAAAGTATTTGTAATATATATAGGACTAGCTGAAGAGCCCGGCGTTGCCCGTGAGAAAAAAATTATGAAACAATTTTTTTAATTTTTTTTAGCCGGCCTTTAACATCCGCCGGCCACCCATGATTGTCCACAAAAAAAATCAGCCCATTTGGTCTATATGCAACATATATATACATATATTAGAAACAGGGATTCACTACAACATATATACACTAATGTCTTGTTTTATTATAAAGATAAAAGATATCTAATAGAACTTATATTATAATAAAATTTATTTCAAAGTAAACTATATTTGAGTAACAGATTTGACGTACATTCCCTTTAAGAGGCTTTTAATTCAAGAATCTAAGATAATCATCCTATTTCAAATGTACATGCTCTAAAAACATTTACTCTCAATTAACTCGTGTCAATAAATAAAATTTCATTTAAATTCATAAAAGATAGCAGTTGCACATACAGTAGAAGAAAATTTCTGAAAACAAAAATTAGCAAAATTTGAAGAAGTATGGATAAGCTGGATTCGGATCCATTTAAAAAAAATTAAATGGATCCTAAGCACTGGATGATGGATGCAAAGGTAAGTTTGAGGTGAGTTGATGGCTAAATTTCATTTTCAAAAATACATTTGCCATTATTACACTTTCCATAATTGTTACACTTGGGTTAATTACTTCTGCCATAATTTTCTAATTTTTACAAAGACTTTAATCTAGCTTTTTTTCAGAAATGCGCCAAATTTCTCATGAAAATTTTTATTTTTTGTTAGCTGGTTAAAATCATAAAAGTTAATTTCCATATTTTCTCAATAGACCTGACCCTTCAGCAACCTTCAAGACTACCAGGAAGAGAAGCCGGTAACCCATGGTTTAAGGCAGCAAGAACTTCACCTATATGTAGATGGTAGCTAATTCCTATTAATACAGAAGTGAAGTATTGAAAATGTTCGAGATTAAGTGTAATTATGGAAGACATACGTTATGAAGAATGGAACTAAACCGAGTTAATCAATTCCTCTAATTCCTTTAGCGGTTTTTTTAATTCAGAAAAGACAATTTGTTTTAATCTCTAAATTGGTCATATATGAACATTCTATTAAACTTGTTTCGAGTTAATTATTCTGCAGTAACATTTTTATATTTCGTGATTTGATAGGGTTCATATTGATCTGAGACAGGGAGGGAGGAAGGGGAAGGAATTTCGGATAAAATTGATCTTTTATAGATCTGTAACCACCAGAACTTGAAAACCTGTTTCTGAATATCATTTTTTCAAAGAAAAAAATTTAATAATAAGTTAGAGACTAAATTCCAAGGTACCATATTCTTTTGAGCGGGGAATCCCCTATTCCCAACGCCTTTTTACTTTCGTTGGAGCAGAAAAAAATATATAAACAATTATTTAAGTTTGTATTTTTTATTGATAATTTTTATTAAAAATAATTAATGCGATTAATTAAGACAACTATTACATTTTACCAACGATACAAAATGAACTACATAAAGAAAAACTAGACTATAACATAAAGTAAATTAAATAGTTTTGATGATTATTTATAATGCAATTCTGATCATCTATAAACCTTTCCTGGGGTCAATGTGAAGTCCGAAAAAAAACTTGGGCCCGATCGGTTCAGTCATTTTGACATTCATTGTATACAGACAGACAGACAAGCAAAGTATACAATTATAGATAAACTAGTCTTTATAACAATTGTGCAAAAATAAAGATAAAATTACTGCCATACTAACTACGTACTATAGGTTACCCACACAAAACTGTTATGGAGACTGGAAACTTTTAAAGGTGAAAATTGTTGGTTTATTTAACGATTTAATGTAGAATAAAGTAGTTTAAAAATGTAGGAATTAAAGCTAGACCAAATATCCCTAACGTCTTATAGGGGTCCCCGGCCCTGTCAATAAACAAATCTTGTTCGTTATTTTCTAATCTGTCCTGTCACACCAATATATGAGCTCTTCTTGAAAACAGGATTCTTGTTCTGTAGATAAATTGTTTTCATACTTGAATTCACACGCACAAGATTCATAGATTTCTCCTTATGCATGTCAACGGGAGAATTCAAGTAGGAATAATGAAGTTGAAAAGTCGTCTTCCTCGGCAACATTTTCGGAGATTTCTTGCATCGTCTTTACATTGTTTATTTCTGCTGCTTTGAAAAATATGGGATCCTAGAATGATAACTTAATTTCGATATTTTTCAATTAATTTAAACCAAATAATTCTATGCCAGCGGAAAATTTTCATTTTTTAACGGTCAAAATTGAGATTAAATTCAAACTGTCTTTATAGGTTGGTTTAATCAGATTTTGAATATTTGACAAAATTCTCTCTACTTGAAGTCAGTTGAACTACTGATCCTGCGCTGATTAAAGTTTATCTTATTGGAACAAATAGCTAGTTGAAGTAGCAATAGCTAGTTCAACCACCTCTTTCTTGTCTATAATTGACTATGAATCATTCAAATTTGTAGTTTTCCGTTAAATGCTTATCTCCATCTTATCATTTCTATTATTTTATATTTTTAGCTGTTTCTTTGGATGAAAAAGCTGCAGCTGTAGCCGCTGTCACACGCACAAGCAGTAAATATTCTGGCTGTCCGCGTACAGCAGCTACAGACACAACCATAACAGCAGTTAGACCCCAGTCAGCTGATTATAGCCCAGTCAGCTGATAATAGCAAAGTCAGCTGATTAGTTCGTGCAAAAGGCCGCCATTTTGCCATATCTGAAATAGAACATTCCGAGTTAAATATTCATCATTCAACATTTTCAAGGCAACCATATTAGAGATCTTTTATCGACATTATTATCAGTGTGGATTATTATATAATTCATGCGATCTCCCCCTTTTAGAATAAATTAAGATCAAATATCGTTAAATTCATGATCAGTGATCATGCAATTAATGAAATATGTAGCTTTTACTCAAAATTCATGACTTCATGTACATTTTTAATTGTTTTTTAAAAAATCGGACAATACATATTCAAATAAATGATATACTGTAGATATTTACAAATAGGTACAATTATAAACAAATATTAAAGGGAAAGAAAGATTGAATAA